GGGTGACCCCTTGGCGTCTTAAGCAGGTTTCTGTTGGAGAACTTCTCCCAGTGTCCATCTTTCCTACGAGGCTTCAGTCAGGGGCATTGTCAGTACTGAGCATAATGTCTGGAACATGGCTAGGTTTTAGTGAATCAATGAATAAATGGATAAAGGTGGTACTATGAAAAGAACAAACGTACTTTCCAAGGTGCAGTCATTCCTGAAATGATTTGGGGGAGAAGCTGACGCAAAAATGAACAGAAACATGAAAGGTGCACTTGGCAGTACGGCCTCTGGCAAAGGCCCTGTGGTTTGGCTGCCATTTGTGCAAGTGAGCTAACTTTCAGCTATGGAGTAACATTTACCCCTGGTTTCACGTGTGCAGGTCTCTGTGGCACGTTTTGTTTCATCTGCCTTGGGTGTCAAGTTGCAGCTGACATGAATGAATGCTGTCTGTGTGGAACAACTGTGGCAATGAGGACTCTCTACCGGACCCGATATGGCATCCCTGTAAGTCTCTAATGATACTGTGTTGTTCAAATATGCAACCACATTCAAAATAATTGTTATATGCGTGGAGGTCATGTGACGGTATTCCTCATCTGAGTTTGATTGGTAAGACGTTCCTAGCATCTGCAACCTTGTATTCAGGTGTAGCCTGAGATCCTCTGGTTATGTGACCTCCCCGTAGGTTTCTGTTGAAAAGCCTAGAAAACAAATCACGCTCATATTTGCAATGCATATCATACAACGGGAGAGAATTATTTAGAACCTACTATGCCCCGGGTGCATTACATATGTTACCTCACTTAATCTTCACACCATCCCTATAAAGTGGATAGGTCCACAATGTTTTCCAGATGAGAATTTTTAAGTTTTAAGAGGTGGAGTGATTTGCGCAAAGATATGCAGTAGCAGTACAGAGCGAGTCAGTATTCAATTCTTACTTTCCGTGCATGTACCTTCTGTTATACCTACTTCACTTTCCCTAGTAGAGGAGTGTATTGGACAGAGTTCTCTGAAGAAACAGAACCAATAGCATGGGTAGGTGTGTGTGTGTGTGATTGTGTATATTTATATACACACATATATATGTCACTCTCTAGATATGTAAATGCATATGTATACCTGTGTGTGTATATATAGGAGAGTGTGTGTGTGTGTGTGTGTGTGTG